CAGCATGGATCCTGATCAGACTGCGCGGATGCGCAGGCTGGTCTGGATCCATGTTGGTCGCAAACCCACTATGTTGGTTTTGTCATGGCGCGGCTCAAATAATTTTGACCACAATATTGTGATAAAGCCTAATCATTTTCTGCATACTTCATTTCAGGTATTTATGTAGAGGTATTAAAATGAACACATAACGAGAAATCTTAAAAAAAACAGTCTATTTTCTTTCAAGACCATTAAATTAACAAATGTACTGTATGTCAGTATTTAGTTCCAGTCCAAGGATGATGATGATAATGATGGTGATGATGATGACGATGATGATGATGATGATGATAAAAAGTAAAAATTTATTTCCAGCTAGTTTTCAGAAATGATGTGTGTGTATAACATGACTTTTGTTAATACAGACTTTATTTGAGCTCAGCTATTACCTTTGTGAAAGACTCTCCGAAGAATCCGTGCCTAAGCAATGAGTGTAAAGTTTCTTGCACAAGGAAACAGCGTCTTGCCCTTGACGGGATTCGAACCCACAAGGCAAACATTCCTTAGATTTCTAGTCCGACTAGCCACTAGGCTATGCCGCCACAATCATGACTGTAGCTCGTGATATTTTTATAACAATAAAATGAATGAATGAATGAATGAAAAAATTGTTTAGAAAAATAATCAAGATAAATCTATAAATAAAGGAAAATGAGCGTAGTAAAGGTGAAGGAACCTAAAAAATATGGAGGGCGTTCGTTGCCAAAATTCCAGACATGTAAAGTGTTCCTTTTTAAAATGACTTTTGAAAATGCGAACTTGTATGCCTACCATTTTTTATTGTACCCGTGCATAGCACATAATATGCCTCTTAATTCAATCTTTTAATTGAAGGTTCCCGCCTTTATGTAACAAGTTTACATATAGATAGTAACAACTGACCTAACATCTAAAACGACAACAAATTTACAAGTTCGTATCTTCCATTGCATGCAATACATAAGTTATAGATCTGAAATATACAAATGAAATGTAAATCATAAATACAGAAAATAGAGTTAAAGAAAACGTGTTACCAGTTGTAGAGCTACAAGAGTACGTTAACACAGTTACATGTTTAAAATGACAAAAGTAGATTCACAAAGTTACACGATTTTAAGTCAAGCATAACGCCCCGCCCCTCTCGGAGTATTTACGAACTACTATTGCGGACAGGTATAAAACGGCGCCTCTCCCATTTTTCTAAATAAAACTTCAGAACAACATAACGCATTTTTCATAACATATATTTGTTACATTTGTTACTAAAGTTTTGTCACTGGCAACATCACTTGAAAATTGCTGATTTTACCATTTATGATGAAGGTAACTTATGCATTAACTTTTTATTTAACATCGTTTTTTCCTGAGAAACATCGGCGATTTGGAAATTTTTAAGGGAAACAATGGCCAACTTTAAGGGAGTAATTTTATTGATAATCTAAAAACCATCCAATATTTTTATTGGTATCATTGAAAAATGTATTGGCACAAATTTCATTTTCAACAAAAACTATGCAAGTATTTGCAAAAATTGGATTTTAAAGCGGCCACCGAGATTTCCTTTCCGAAATCAAGAAAATACTTATCAGTAGCACATATGTACAATCTTTAATAAGGTATTTTCAGTATAAATAAAAATTTTTTGCGCTTGTTCATTATTTCTCATGTACAGACTCAATCAAACCGAGTCTGCAATTCTTATGTAATATTGTTGTGATTAATGCTTCCGAGGGATCACTTTGTTTCCAGATTTTTATACTTCACAACAGCAGGTGTCAAGTGCCGTGTGGCAGCTGTACAAAGTTGCCCCGTACTTCACTTCAGTGTTGTTATATTTTTCTGGTCCTTCGGGATCATTGATGCCAGCGCAATTAAGTGTTGAGAATTGAGTACCGCTCAAGCCGGTGCTAGGGGCACGTGGGATGTTGCACTTGTTCATTATTCCTCATGTACAGACTCAATCAAACCGAGTTTGCAATTTTTATGTAATTTTGTTGTGATTAATGCTTCCGAGGGATCACTTTTCACGTTTCCAGATGTTTAATATACTTGTTTAAAGCTTATGGTCTTTTCTTTCCTTCAATATTCATTTTCTTTTTTGAATAAATGTTCTAAAGGAAGGGACGTGTTTTTCTTTCCGAATATATGAGTGTGGTTTTAAGGGAGAAAAAATAAACAACGATAAGTTTGAAACAAAATTTTTAATGCTTCTACGTTATTAATTTTCATTTTTAAGGCATCACTAGAAAGTTCATGAAGGATTCTTTTACGTGAGTCTAAAATTATCAAAATTGACCAAGAAATGAAAAAGTAAGTAGGGTGCTCCATGTTTCTCTTACTGAATTTCAGTGTGTTTTGTTTTTTTACTTGGGGACCACATGCCGTTTTTCATGGAATGTCACATTGAAGGTTCCATAATAATCGCCATATTAACACATCTGCGGATGTTTCAAAATTCAAAATTGTACCAGTTCATGTTGAATTTTGCTTCAGCCGGTGCTAGAGGGTTGCGCTTTCCATTACCGTCCATGAACAGGCTCAATCAAACCGAACCTGCAACATTCTCAATTTTGTCGTTTTCAGCGTTCTTTAGGGATTCTTATTTTCTCTATTCTACAGAAAGTAACATAATAAACTTTTAAACGAAAATTTAATTCATTTTGATTTAATTCATTTTTATTTTAGCCATTATATAAATCGTAACAAACACACTTTTATTTCAATCCAAAATTATCAAAATTGATTACGAAATAAAAAAAAGTTTGGAGGGAACGCCGTGTTTTTCTTACCAATTCGAAAGTGTTATTTTCAGAGGAAATTTGGTAAATTTTGAAACGAAAATTTCAATACATCTGTTTAATTCATTTTATTTCTGAGGCACTCATAGAAAGCTTATTGAGTAATCTTTCATTTGATACCAAAAATATTTGACTTTTTATAGAAATAAAAAAAGTTGGAATGGACGCCGTGTTTTCATTCTCTTTATTGAGAAATAGGAGAGATGCGACGGGTATTATACCTGTCCGTACATTTCCGTAATAGAAGATCGTAAATACTCAGAGAGGGTCGGGGCGTCATGCATGACTTAAAATCGTTTAACTTTGTTAATCTACTTTTGTCATTTTAAACATGTTACTGAGTAAACGTACTGTTGTAGTTCTACGACTGGAAACACGTTTTATTAAATTCTATTTTCTGTATTCGAGTTTTACTTTTCATTTGTATTTTTCAGGTACAGATAGATATCTTCAAGTGTGCAAACATGCTTATGTATTATATGCAATGGAAGATACGAACTTGTAAATTTGTTGTTGTTCTCCATGTTAGTTCAGTTGTTAAGTTTTTCATGTAAACTTGTTATTTAAAAGCGAGTGTCTTCAATTAAAAGATTGGATTAAGAGGAGATCATTTGCTGTGCACGAATAAAATCAAAAATGCTAGACATACATGTTCGCATTTTCAAAAGAAGTTTTCAAAAGGAACACATTACATGTCTGGAATTTTGGCAACGATCGCCCTCCATAAAAAAATCTCCGTCATTTGTAATCATATTCAGTAACGTGAAGCTATTGATATTGATAGAGATAATAATTCTTCAAATGTTTAATAGAAGATAAAGGATAAGAAAAGTAGAGAAAAAAATTGAATGTAACATTTCATTTCCGCTTTTATATCATCATCGGTAATGTTTAATTGTAACATGATACTAAAACACAGTATTCCTTTCATACACTGCATAGCATAATATGAGCCGCGTCATGACAAAACCAACATAATGGGTTTGCGACCAGCATGGATCCAGACCAGCCTGCGCATCGGCGCAGTCTGATCAGGATCCATGCTGTTCGCTATCAGTTTCTTTACTTATTATAGGGTTGGTAAGCGAACATAATGGATCCTGATCAGACTGCGCGGATGCGCAGGCTGGTCTGGATCAATGCTGGTCGCAAACAAATTATGTTGGTTTTGTCGTGACGCGGCTCATCAAGAATGATATGGAATATTTCTTTGATCATATATGTCTAGTATTGCCAATGAAATATATTATTACAGGAAATTGATTTTATGGTTTTAATTAACGACTTTGAAATGAGAGCAGTTTTGTTTCAGTATGATAACTATATCATACATTTCTCTTTAATAATCAATCTATTTAAACAGTGAACATTTCATTGTCATATTACTAAAACCAGCGCATATGCTTTCCTGCGATATCATTGCCGCATTTAAAATCTAAATTTCTTACTATATCTAGAGCTTCTTTGTCATTTAGATTTTGGAAATACATGTACATGTACATTTGAATATAAACAATCGGAAATGCAGTGGCAGGTTTTCTTCCAATTAGCGAGATTAAAATACAATAAAAACAAAATGGTGCGCACAACTGCGAAATGCCAACTGCTGAAGGTGAAAAGAAAACATTTCTGTGGACACATAGCAAGGGGTCTTCACTCTGAAGTGCGACATTCTTATTCAAACTTAAACTGACTTTCTAACAACTCATTTTACTAACTAATTATTTGGAAAATTGATGAACAGATACGGACACCTCAGAAATTGATAAGCTTTTGATTTTACAATACTTTGACACTCAGAATTTGCTTTATTTTCAAACCTAAATTGGCGCTAAAAAATTCTGAAAGAAAGGTCCTTCGACAGAAATGGAAAACAACATCAAATAGTTCTGGAGAGGGTACCAATTGACGATTTAGGAGATGTTTTATAGTTGAAGGTGCATTGTAACAAGTTAGGATAAGAAATTGAAAACACTTAAAATGACAAAGTGTCGAGATTAAGGAAAATTTCTTATTTACAACATGTCGAATGACCCTACTTCATGAGACATTTTACAGCAATAAAAAGTATTTTATGTACATGTAAACACAGAACAGGATATAAAATATATATGAACATATTTTATTGTATTTACCTTTACATGTCAGCTCTCGATCATTTTATAGGATGTGAATTACAATAATAAACGATCTTGGGTTAATTTTAAGTCTTTGGATTAAAATATTGAAATATGCACATGTGTTATTTTATGTATTTGTGTTATTTTATGTATTTGGATTTAAATAATGAAGAAAATTAACATGTGGACTTTAAAGTTATTAAAAGTACTTGGATTTTAGTTAATGGTCTAAACACCTATTTTAATTTTAGTGTTACCGAACTGTGTTATAATGAAGTAATGAACAATGAACTAAGCACATATGTTGACGAACTATATAATTTCAAGTTTTTGGATTTTAGTAATGCAATAATACATATATATTTCATGTAGTAATGATGAACTAAACACATATGTTACCGAACTGTATTATTTCAAGTCCTTGGATTTAAGTTATAAATTCAACACATATGTAAACTAAGGATATTATTTTTGTTATGAGCTAAACGCAGATTGATGACTGAATAATTTCCGAAATGTGTTTTCAAGTTTTTGGATTTAAGCAATGAAAAGACATATGTTGATTGTAAAGTTACCGAATTCTGTTATTTTCAAGAACTTGAATGTAAGTGATGATCGTAATACATATGTTGACTGTATATAGTTACCGAACTGCAGTTCTTGATAAAACGCAGGCCTCAGAATTTACAGAAGTTAACGCTATACTTCCAGTTATAGGGTGATGTCAATGTATCTTTATGGCAGACTTTTATTACCTGACGTATTGATTCTGTTTTTGTTGAGCGATGCTGCTATAACTCATAAAGTCAAACGACACGTTTCTTGTCGCTTAATAACTTCCAGTGAGTCATTATTTACAAGGAAGTCTTCATCGCTTCTCTAAAGTGAGGTCTTGGTTTAAGATATCAACATGTGAAGCTACAGGCATATTATTTGGAATATTAGATGCATCTTAGCTGTTTAAATAAAGTGTTCATGTACAAATACAGTTTTATTTACTCAGGAACCAGACTTAATGTGCCAGGATAGATAAAAGAGGAATAAAAACGGATAGAACAACATAATAAATAGTTTCATTTGATTAGATAATAACTACACAAAGTCCATGTACATTGTGGAATCTAGATAAAAATAAAGTCAAAATACTGATGTGAAAACGTTCACTGAACAATTAAATTATGTTATTGATACATTAGTGTAAAGTTCTAACACACGGCTGAAGGACGTTGCTTTCCAATAGCTTTAAAACAATGTAACATACAAAAAGGCCAAAATGCAGATAGAGTAATTTATCCAACCATTGATTATCATCCAAGTAACAAACTTCGTACTGAAAAGGGATAAATCTAGGCTCTATAGAAATATTTCAATTTCTATAGATGGATAAACAATATCCGACGTAAGATACAGTTATAAAGTTGGTCTAATTTACCGTTTAACCTTTAGGCTACCAATGTAACTAGGTTTCTTTATTGTTATTTTATGGAGAAAATTGAATGTATGATATCAGTGAATACAAATCAGACAATTAAAGATTAAATCTTTCTAAGGTCGTTCATATACTAACTAAATATGAAAGAAGAACAAATTAAACCTTCCATTCAGAGGTGTGCAACGACTGATATAGTAACATTAGGGGACAAGGAATCCAAACAACTGGACGTTTCGACAAAAGGGACAATAAAAAAGGCAGTATCTATGGATTCAGGGGAAGCAGAAATCTCCAAAATGTCGAAATCATGTTTAGGATCTTTAAAACGTCGTTCTGTCCGGGTAAGATTTTTACATCTTGTTACTAAGATTATTTGTGGAGAAATTCTCAAATCATGTCGCGTTATAATACATTTAGATCGTTCAAAATAAAAGATATATCTATGTCATGTAAGAAATACTGATTTCGAATACTAACTATACCTTTATCCTTTAATAGTAAAAATCAATTTTATTTTTTAAAATTTTAACCTAAAGTATTTTGACTGTAATGTACCCGGTACTTATTTTTCAGAAACGAACCAGCAAAAGGTCAAATAGACAAGAACCAGGATATGGTCACGATACTGAGACTTACGAGAAAATACGAGAACGTGTCTTACAAGAACGCGCGGTGACGAACGCTATAGACGCTTTACAAGAACGCTGGAGAATGTTAACATTTATGTATGAGGATTGTGTTAAAATGAATCAGACCAGGAAAGAACGAAAATTGAAGAAACTATGTGTGAAAAGACAGTTTGAACTTATCATGATTGTATCGACATTTGCTCTTTTTTGTCTATTTCTATCAGTATTGATCTTTGTTTTACTGAACATATGGGAAACTGTAGGAACTAAAAGTATTCCTGATTTTCAGTTTCCAGTTAGTTAAAGTGAATCGAACTTAAATTTAAAAGTTTGAGTTTTTGTGTCATAAATTCAATAAAATATAGTCGTTTAAAGGAAATTATGACATCAGGTCATGTTATGATGTTATGTTATGATGTGCATAAACGGACTATTAACTGGATTATTACATTGTATAATATATTCAGATATTGTGAGGTGTTGAATTATTTTCCGTACTGTTTCGCATTTTGTACTTTATGTACTTTATGATATTTATCGTGAACAGGAATATACATAAAACCTATGTCTGCTCTTTCCAGTGTGGATTTATTTGATAAAGTGATATTATTCGAACCTCCTTCGGGATTCATTTGATATAGATAATTTAGAAATTGATATTCTATATTTGTCGCCTTATTGGAATAAACCTAAAGAGAGATATTAACGTGACCTAAATTTTATTCAATTTTTATTTAAATTAAAGAAATATAATACAACTACATTTCCCCCCTCCCCCTGATCGGGTGGTTTTTTTTTGTTTACTTCAAACCATTTTTCCCTCCCCCCCTACATAGCCTTACTTTTTTTCCCCCGCAAGTTGATTTCAAATTTCTGTCAAACAGTCAAAATTTAAAGATTGGGGTTTTTGGGGGGAAAAAAAGAAAACCCCCTTTTTGCCTATTTTACAGAGGGACAAAAAACACTTTCCAAAACCTTTTTTGTTCCCGGGTGTGTGTAAATTTGCTTTTCTCCCCTCGTAGGCTTCCCCTTTTATTTGTTACCAAAAAAATACTTTTTAAACTCGAAGGAAATAGTTTTTTACCTAGTCCCTTTAAAATCACAAATTTTAATTTTGGTTCCCGGGACAAAAGTCTGGGGAAAACAAGACTCCTCCTGGGGGTCACTTTTCCCCGGGGTTTCCCCCTCCCGTTTTTAGTATAAAAATACTATGCCTCTAAGCTGAGAATGTCCAAGCTTCTCGAATGGCGAACTGTTGAGGTATCTTCACCTTAGCTGTTCTCATCTAAATCTTTTAATGCAAATTTGCCCTGTTGTTTAGTCGTGGTGTTTTTGTTTCATTTTCCTCGCTTCGAATCGAAAACCTTTCATTCCTTACATACTTGATCATTGTTGTTTGTGTATTATATTCTTTTTCGAAGTTTTCATTCTGAATATACTGATACGTCTATATGTAGCGTTGAAGAATTAATAATTTGAGCCGTGTCACGACAAAACCAACGTAATGCATTTGCGACCAGCATGGATCCAGACCAGCCTGCGCGGATGTGCAGGCTGGTCTGGATCCATGCTGGTCGCAAACCCATTATGTTGGTTTTGTTGTGACGCGGCTCATTTATTCAACATTAAAGAAACTGTAGAATATGTTAAAACAGAAAGACATAATACCAAAATGTCTTACCCTTTAAGTGTAATTACTTTGAAAGTTCTAATTTTAACTGTCTGATAATAAAAACATTTGCATTTTAAGGTTGTGAAAAGATTTACCTTTGGTAAATTCATAAAGACTTTAAACCTAAAACTAGCTATATGCAACATAAAATGAAAGTTTTAAGAGATGATTTTCTACATGAAGTGTATATTTTAACCATTATACGCTCAAATTCAACAGTTGGTCAGCATTAAGAAACATTGGTAATTTACGATGAGCCCAGTAACCCTACTTCACACAATATATAACAGCAGTATAAAACAGTTTTATACATGTAATCAAACAAAGAAAGATATAAAAATGTTTTGAAAGTATCTTTATGTATTTACTTTTTCGTTTTAGATTTTATTTGTTTGATATTAAGTCACACCGACATAGTAAAGATCATATGGAAACTTTCAATCTTTACTGGCGGATAAAGACTTCAGGTGCCGCTCCTTACATTTTTATCAGGCATGAGCGAGCACCTGAGTAGAACGACCGGCATCCCATGAGCCAGAGGGATAGATTCTTGACATGAAAGAATTCGAAGTCCCTGACAGGATTCGAACCTAGGGCACTGAGGCACAAGTGGTTTGAAGTCAACGATAACTTTATCTAATCAGAAGCAAGGAAGCTGAAACCTAAACCTAGGTGGGTGATAAAGATTGCCATAATGCATGGGCACATTCAAAAACTTCAAAATAACATATGAACCACTTACCTGCAACCATTACGTGCGAGCGTTATAAATATCCAGTCATTTTGTAAAGTTTGCAACCATTACACTTTCTTGAATCAAGTGTTCAATCACTTCATGTTCTGTCCCTTGTATAAAAGAATATATTAAAAATCTCGCTGCAAGCAATCCTCAGATTACGAGTCCGACACGTTAGCCACTCGACTACGCATCCAAGATATACTTGAGCAGATATATATTTAAACTGTAGGTTCTACCTTTTTGCACGTAAAATTGGTAGAATTCAGATAAATATATTAAACAATTAACACGTGCACTTGGCTGTACTGCGAGTGGATCATCATTATACAGAAAGAAACAAGAAACAAGAAATTTCTAGGTTTCGTTTCATTTCATTTGAATATTTACATACATAAAGCTAGCTAATCAAACAGTAAATGCGTGTTAAGATTTTATACAAACTTATCATCCCTCAGATAAGAAAAATACGAAGGTAAGCTATATTTGAAATTCAATTTCTAAAGATCGACAATTATCCGGGATCAGACGCATTTTACTGTTTCAATCTAATCGGTTTCTATATATAATTTTACAGACAAGCTCGATTGTAGGCCTATCCAGGGTCTTTTAAATAGAATTCTATTTGAAAGACCCTGGCCTATCAGTAGATAAAAAATAGCAGAATTAAAGATTATGTCTTTTTAAGAGCGCTCATTTTCCAAAATGAAAATAAAAGAAACAAGAGCTGTCCGTAAGACAGCGCGCTCGACTTTTTTATTGCTTGCCAATAAAAAAAGTTTTTGCAGTAAAAGGCAATACAAGAATCTCTGTATTTTTAAAGTGAACAATGGCCATGAGCATTAAGATATTTAGTGAAGAATTATTTTATTATGACATAATTTATGGTAAAGTGAACAAGTGGATAGGAATGAATTTTTTTAGATTTTTTAAGTTTTTTAGTGCTTGCCTATAATACAAAACATTGACAGTTAAGGGCCATAATTCAAATAAAATCTTTGACAGAATTACCTTCTCCTGGACATGTTTGGGAATCATGATTGTAAACAAGTATTCCAACTTTCAAATTAATATCTCAAACAGTTCAGTCAAAAAGTGGACTGGTACTAAAAACTTAACCAAGATTCTAAGTCGATAAAAGGCCTTAATTTTTAAAACAAATCCTTGACAGAGTTACCTTCTCTTGCGTACAGATGGGGTAATGATGTGAAATAGCATTAAAAGTTTCAAAGCAATATCTCAAAGGGTTAAGGCAATAAGTGGATTTTACCCATATTCAATGTATTTTCTAAGTCAAAAAGGGGCATAATTCTGTCAAAAACCTTGACAGAGTTATGTCCTCTTGTCTGTTGATGAAGGTCGTGATGGTAAACAAGTATGGTCAGTTTCAAAGCAATACCTCCAATGGTTTTGAAATAAAGTGAGGTGGTACAAAAAACTTAACCAAGCTCAATACACTTTCTAAGTCAAAAAAGGGCCATAATTCTGTCAAAAACCTTGACAGAGTTATGTACTCTTGTCTGTAGATGGAGGTTATGATGGTGAACAAGTATGGTAAGTTTCAAAGCCATACTTGTAATACTTCTGAAATAAAGTGGGGTGGTACGAAAAACTTAACCAAGGTGTGACGCCAACGCCGACGCCGGGGCGAGTAGGATAGCTCCCCTTTTCATAGAAAAGTCGAGCTAAAAAGAAAACGATTTAAGCCTTCCATTTAAAGAAATGCAACAACAGATAATTATGTTATTAAAATAATAACAGTGACCCCCTAAACTTATCATTCCAACAACAAGGTCGCGAAAATGTCGAAAATCGTGTTTTAAGAATGTAAAACGCTATTCTGTTCTTGTAAGATTTAATATAGTTTTAACATCTAAATTTGTATTTCAATGACATATAAAGTTGAATAAAAAGGTGTGAAATGATTAATCCAGTGACGTCAGATCGAACTATTTTTGTGTATTTGTTTCACATCACTTGCTGAAATAGTGCGTTTTGAATTGTGCATTTACTGATAAATTTACATAATAGGCAAATAATGGCTTAGCAAAAAGATATAGACTTATTTATAATTTTGTAGATTCAGATTTAGATTTATTCAGGCACAAACATAATGTTTATTGTCGTAAACAATAATATCGTGTATACATACTTATAAACATAAGAAATAGATATATTGATTAAAATAATTACAATTAACCAGTTGTCATTTTCAAACAGACTGGATAGGGTAAGGAAGCATACAAGAAAATTCAAAATCGTATTTTACAAGACCGCACTGACGAACGCTATAAACGTTTTAAAATGTGTATTAAAATGAAACAGAAAAGAAAAGAGCTGAAATTGAATAAAGAAAGACAAAAGATTGAACTTACTTTACTTCGGAAATTTTAACTGATTTGCACATTTGAATCAATTTTTGAGCCGCGTCACGACAAAACCAACATAATGGGTTTGCGACCAGCATGGATCCAGACCAGCCTGCGCATCCGCGCAGTCTGATCAGGATCCATGCTGTTCGCTTACCAACTCTATAACACGTAGAGAAACTGATAGCGAACAGCATGGATCCTGATCAGACTGCGCGGATGCGCAGGCTGGTCTGGATCCATGCTGGTCGCAAACCCATTATGTTGGTTTTGTCGTGACGCGGCTCATTTATCGTTTCCCTAAGAAGCTATTACATGTAGGATTGTATAGAAATTATCCTAACATTGATATTCTATTTATTTTGTTCGTATATGTTCCTCTTTTGTTTCTCAACTTACAACATCCCAGCAAACATTACATATAGGTCCGATGTCGGCCCGATATCATCTTCAATGTCGGCCCGATATCGGCATCCGAAGTCGGCTCGACATCGGATGTGCAACCCGGCTCAAAGTCGGGCCGATATCGGATGCCGATATCGGGTACCGACTTACAGCCGATGTTTTACCTTCATTCATAATAAGCTTTTTATTTCTTACAGCATATTGGTTTGCTTTCCTTAACATATAACAGAACATATATCTATTTTGCAATACCTTTTATTACATCAGCAAAATTAAAAATTCATATACATAATATATTTTATAATTTACACATACATATTTCAATGTTTAAAACCATGTATGTTTATCTTACGATTTTTTTCTTGCTAACACACATAAAAGTTTAAACATTAACCTTTACATGTTTCCTATAAAGATCAGTCAAAATTAAATTGTTTTAACAAAAATACTTAAGTCATGTGACTGGCAAATACAACCTTGCTATATTCATACTACTTTTTGTTAAGATAAAATAAGCTCAATGGCTTGTTCCTTTGCTTTTTTAGATCCTGTAGACTTAAAATCTGTCTAGAAAGTGTCAAGCTGTTATCTCTTATATATGTAGTAACTGTATTTTAGATTTTGCACATTGATTCATACTCCAGTTACGGTATTACGAGTTTGAGTAAAACTTTAAAAGAATAGCTGACTTTTTTCACATTATCATGTTGAATAGTTAAACAGCATTTTGTAATTTGTACATGAGTTAATAATGTCAAGTGTCAATTGTGGTTCCTCCAGGAGTCCCAATATATATGAACTTCTTCAATTGTTTAGTTTTCTACAGTTCTTTATTGCCACCATGTCTTGATCATTTGCCAGATGAGCTATTTCCTGCTATTGAATTTCAGCTCGATGACTGTTGCCCTCTTTTTCATCACTACATTCTGAAGCAAAAATTGTAAAGTATATCTGTGTGTGTATAGATACAAGTTACAAGCTACAAATATTGTCTTGATCTATATATATGAAAAGAATATTTATTAATTAAACTTTTTTTTTAAACATATATGTTAATAAATCAGTAAAAAACAATGAAATTTACATAATAACTCTAAAAGCTCAAGCTGAATAATTATTTTTTCGTCATCATAGATTTTTTTTGTCTACTTACTCATTCTAAAATCTAAGTGTTGCCTAGGACTCTGTATTGCATCAATTGGTCATCTTTAGCTTCTAAAATGACATTTTCTTTCTCCAAAACCAGCTATTTCAGTTGTCAGCACTCTGATTCAGATATGTTTGTCATGTCACAGACAGATGTTTTACCTGCAATGAATCATTCATGTTTCAAACATTATACTATAAGAAAATATATCAACATAATAATATATTCACATTTTTATTACTAAAGGACTATGTTAAGAAAAGTGTCCTTTCAAAAGGCAAGCAGGCACTATCCATTTCTTTTAAAGTAATCAACATTTCATTATTTCTGATTAAAACTTTCATTTGACATCTCTATCATAATTATAACTTTTAATAAAAATAAATAGAAAATTATAGTTTGATGTTTATTCTCTCTCAGCCGCTAAATTTCAGGCAACAATTTAAAAACAGTCGCGAAAATGTATTACAAAATAATTTTCGGCAAGATAATTATGAAATTCCCAAACCTACGTTCAAAATATCAATGACACCGAATACTACAACAATGAATTTATTCAAAAGCATAAGTAATTTATAAATTTACCAGTATTATTTGAGAAAAAATCCACTTTTCTTAGTTTTGGCGCAAACTCCTTCTGATGTCAGGTGTGCTAGAAAAATACCACGTTGTGCAAATCACTTATACACTAAATCGGCAACAGACATGGAGCCGATATAGCACCGAAGTATTTTTCGTGAAAACGACTAAATTACTCTTTACAGAAGCATCGATTTCTTGCTGAAATGAAATTGAGAAGAATATGCTAAAAAAACTCATTTAATTGAATAACAGGAAATAAATGTATATTGGACCTATATCGGACCGATATCATCCTGTCTTTAACAAGTTTGTCTATATCGGATATATATCGGTTCGATGGCGGAAAGCCGACTTCGATATTCCGACATTTAGCCGATATCGGCCCGATATAGGTATGTTTGCTGGGATGTCAACATGTTTCGTCAACTACTAGTGAACTATTGGATCGTCAGGGGAAGTAACTACATTCAACAAATGTCGCTTTTCCTTGTGGAGTAGCAGTCCTTAGTTCATTAATTAATTTATCTCATCGGATTGTGATGAAAATAATAAAGTAATTTAACATGGTTAAGTGGGTCAACTTATCTTGATCGCATTACTCCAACATTTAAGGAAATAAACCGTTGCTAGGGAATTGTCGTATAATACAGGAAGGTTCTCGGAAGTAACCATGTGCGGTGCCACTTTGCAATAGGAGGTCTTATTATCAAAGTAAAATATCAATTCATATCACGTCTTGAATCAAAGCACAGAAGGCGCTGAATTTGTTTGGGTCTCAGAATGTCAGAAAGGTGAAGGTTGTGAGATTATAAACCAATTTGTTTTTGTATAGTGCCACCAGTGCTTTCCAGCGTTTTAATTGTAGTTAATTGGCTTTAAGACTAATTGCAACACTGATATTCAATTCAATGTTTATTTGACTTAAACAATTTGAAAAAAACAGTTGCCTTCCTGGATTTGAACTCCAGACCCCTCGGCCACGGTGAAGTTATATGTAAAAGGCCTTAAGAAAAACCATATTATTCTAAATTAAATTGTAACCCTTATTATTTCGACGCTAACTGTTGTTTAACACAGATGTTAATAATCATGGAGCTTATTATAAGCATTCGGGAATTATTTTGCTTGAAAATTAATGCGCCTGTCATTTGACCATCTTTACGCAGTGATCTCCCCTGATTTTTTTTGGCGTTAGTGTACATATAAAGGGAAGAAACCGCTTCAAAAAAGCGGCCTACTTTCGGCATTTGCAATTAACAGCATCTGACTCTGAAATTTCGCTACCATTATTTGTTTGGTCTGACGACCCAAACAAATCAAAGCACTGAATGTACTGATGGGGAGGCTATGACAGAATGTTTCAGACTTATAGTTTCTTTTCTTTTTGCTTAAAATGTGCTGTTAAATAAGAAGATATGCACATTGCGCCATTTATCGTTCAACCATTCATATATATGATTAATATGGTTGACGGTAATGACCACTCATTTTGTTAATATTCCAGAACATTTCATTGAGGTCTACATTCGGACTGTTAATCATGCAAATTTTGAAAAACCTAAAAACCATTTATAAATGACATACCAGTAGGTATGACGACTGTTCATTATAAGATCATAATACCATTTTACAACTGACGGTTCCTTATCAAAATATTCTAGGACTGTTCATCATAAATACTTTATGTCATTTTAATATCATTGAATGATAATAACATCTGCAAGTTAAGCAACATTTTAATTGAACATAAAAATTAAACATATTTACATGTACCATAATTGAGATCAATATAAGACACTGTCTTGTGATGAGTATTAATATTCATGCTCTACGGACAGAAAGTTGTCTTCTCCCGAAGCAAATCTCGAATAAAATCACGTTTCAGAAAATTATTCCCATTTCATTACTCGTCGCTGACTTTGACGGCTTCGGATAATATTAAAGCTAAATAGTTCTTGTAAAAATACATATCTGCAAAGCTTATTCAAAATTGAATCAACCTAAGTGAAAATTGATCAGCAAGTTATTGGCGTCCGCGCCGAAGCGCGGCGCCCTTATGGAATGAAATCAGATTTTGTGAAAGGGCGACAGCAACTTCTCGAGCCTTTTAGTCGGTCATAATAAAAGCCTATAATTCCGATCGGTATGAGGGTGCTTGATTAGTAATTAAGAATGAAATGTCGCGATATGTTCAATGAATAGCGAACTGGAGAATTTCGCAATGCAAACATTTTCAAATGAAATAACCTTTTCCGTCAATAAATCGCGCTCTTCGGGGTTTTTTATTTATCATTTTGTAGTACACAGTGGTGGGTTATCATGGTATGTTATTGTTGTACATGTATCCTAGAATGATCAGTTGATGACCTAAATATTCCAAAAATCTATTTATAGATATATCTATTTATCACTCCTATCGGTAATTACCGGTCTCTCCCGGTCTATTTTGACCGGGATTTTACTAGTGACCGGCGAATAGTACCACACGTTTATTGTCCGGTCTCTCCCGGTTTTGGAGTAGATGTTTGATATCGTTACAATTAGAAAAAAAAACAACAATAGCATGTTTCATTTTATCTATATGAGATAAAAACAATAAATATGTACACGGATTTATATGTGATATAAATCCGTGATATGTACAATAATTGAGAAAAAGGTTCATTTTTATGGTATTAAAATGACATTATCAACTTTGAAACATTTAATTTAATTTGTTATCCGTGTTTAGTAAAGATGCCGAGGAATTATTGAAAGTTACAAATTAGATTTTATGAATTATTCAATTTATTGATAATTTAAAAATGATAAAGAAAAATACAAATGTACATGTACATGGTTTAAGAATAAACAATATTATATATTGAAAGATAAACCATAATTTACTGACTTTTTCCAGTTAAGCTTTGACTTATATAATCGTCGGTCAATATGACAATTGAGTTCTTAAAATTTATTTTACAATTTTAATAAAAAAAGAGTAGTAAAAACTCAGTATTAAAATAGCACATAAAACACAAAAAAGAAAAGAAAACAATATTCATAAAAAAATTTTTTGATTAAAATTAATAGATATTACAATTATTGTATAATAAACAATTATGCTCAACATGATCAACATGGTAATATAACCAGTGTCATATTTTTACTAACTTAAAGTGTGAACAGATACCTTAAGAGGGGTTTTTCGCTGATAGCGATAACATAATAAGGGACAATTACAAAGGTGTGGTACGTGTTGATCATGCGTTACACATATGGATTATAAATGATTGCATACATGTATATCCGTTGCTATTAATAACCACGATAATTAAGAAATAACAAGACTTTTAGTAATATTCTAATCTCTAGCATGCCAATCAAAGTTCATCGTCCGCTCATTCATAAGTGATATACATTTCTGGTAGTTTGTAAGAATATCTTGTTATCATATGTGTACTAGTTCATCTTCACTTGCTGCATTTCTTGCTTGGACGCCCTTTGATGCTTTGCATCAATGCTTTTCTTGTATCTTCTTTTTTACCGCCAACACTCAACCAACTTATTGTAGTTAATCGATAGATTTTAAACCTCACTAGATTTAAATATATACTGCGGAAAATCTGTTGTTAACAGGGTGTGCGGTTATTACGTAGGGTTTTCCTTGTCGACCATTTCCCGCAAATAGATGAGAACATCGAAGCGTCAGTGCTATGAATGGTGTTATAAATAGCGTGTTTTGGAGGTTTTTTTTTAAACTTCTTCAAATCCCTCCAGAGGTATGCACGTCGCGGAGAAGGCACACGGCAGGTCAAGGTCAAGTCATCTCGAGTACCAGAGGTGATTGGTTGACCTGTCGTAACTTACTCTGGAGGTTTGGCGCTAATGAATGCCGTTTTTGTTATCGTCAGTCAGAAAGTTGATGCCTTGACAGTATTGTCGTCTCCTTTACCACCAACGAACGAAGAATGGGCTACCAGGAAGATTCTGCTTGAAAAAGACTTCCCCGATGCTATAATCTCGAACATATGGTTATTCCGGCGCCGAGTATAAATAAACTTAAAACACACACACTTTTGTTGAAAAAAAAAACAAAACAAAAAAACAACAACATATTTTCTGTAGTAATTTTTCAAGTGTTGTAAAATGAAAACGAAATTCGTCTTATGCCGCCAATTATTTTTAGAACACAAACATATAAGTTCTTTTTATTTGATTTATTCAAATAAACATTAATCACTTCAGCGCGCGCAATTATCGTTTTCAAATTAAAATTTCGTAAGATATGGATGCTCGACTGTAAGTCATTCTTATATATATGCGTTTTTTTTTGTTTTGTTTTTTAAAGCTTCTTATTCTTTAATATTTTTATATATCTCATAATCTGTATTGAAAATTTTATTACACATGGACTATCAAATTATGATTCGTTGCCCTAGAATTGAATAAACTTTCTAATTACACAATACGGAGTCATTCATTCATTGCGTCTTTCTCTGAAATAATTATTTCCTTGTTAAAACATATTTGACCACATATTTCTGTCATTTAACTGTTCACTTTACTTCCGATTTTTGTTGTACCGAAACACATGTTTCTATTTGTGTTTTCTATTCGAATCTATAATCAATTGAATGGGATCACCACCGGGTAAACGACTACTAGGTACTTTGGTCATGTTTTTTACCCCAAATATTTGGATGTTTCTATTGGGATTAAAATGAGCGTAGATAACTAAACAACTGGTTGTATAAATCCCTGACCTGTCTAATTCTAATTATGAGATTAGTGGATAGATTAACTACACTACAAAATATTCCTAAACAAAAGAGCAACGTTTAAATTTATTCCTTTACAAATAAAAGATCAGAGTAGGGATCTGTCAAATGCCATACATATTTTTAAAAGATACTTTTATGTTAAAAGTTTGATTAATGAATTATGTGAGATGAAAATATAAGTATTGCTTTTTTTATTTTGCTAATATTAAATTTAATCTTGTGGTGAAATTTTGTCGGAGGGTCCTTACGGATTTTGTAGTTAAATAGTTTTTTTTTCCGGCTATACATGGTTTAAGAATATAATGTTTTCAAACTATATGTTCATCACCATTAGTGAATTTTTAGTTAAATGTATGCAAAATATTTACTAACAGCTATATGATATAGCGGTTTATGAGCGTTTTCCGCGTACAACCTCCTAAGGTGTACTAATAAGTTAGTTTTCCTTAGTTATCACGCAAGCATGATTCATGTCTCTGATGTAAGCGACAGTTTACCATTTTTTATCTTTAGAAAAATATTAAGGACTATTAATGATTTATAACAACAAAAGAACATGCATGATATTGAGACTACGGTGTTGCAACGTTCTAGTTAATGACCCGTCATAAACAGTTGGTCGCTGCGTAGTAATTGGAAAA